GGTCATGCCATCACTCTTACACGTACTGTATTAAATCGTCCTTGTTACGACGATTATGAAAGTTATTATATTTTAATGACAAAAAGTGGAAAAAAAAGAGAAACAAATCAGGCAACAAATCGTCAAAGCAGTCGTTCTCCTATGTCCCTTAACAATATTGAAAGAAGACAAATCTTAAGTACCTTCACTTTCTCACTAAGCTAACATTATTATCACAAGTTTACAACACATCAAACTGATTTTTATTTGTAAATAACAATCGAAAACCAACAAAAAAAATATATATATATAAATCAATTACTATTTCCAAACTCTCTGTTCAAGTATAATCTAAAAAAAGTCTATTTATACAATCTCATTGATGATTTCTTGTGTCGTCTTGTCCAAAGAGAATTCGCCTATGACAATCTTGAGGCTTGAGTCGCGATAGTTATAAGTTGGAGAATTTTGATGTCACATGATTAAGAATCAACCATTCTAGTTAGATATCGTTAAATATGGTTTAAAATCAATAGACAATGAGTAAATTGACTTATATCCCTTATATACTACAAATTCTGTGGGACTTCCACAACATAATTTCCACAAGATTTGTGATCAAAGAGGATGATTTAAATCAGAGGACAAGGATCTAACTTGGCTTGATGATATTTAGATCATTAGAACCAAGAAGATCAAACTTAAGCAATTACTATCTCCAAACTATCTTTGCACATTCTCATTGATGATTTCTTGTGTCTGTCTACCTCATAAAGAGAATTCACTAATCTTGAAGCTGGAGTCGCAATATTTAATTGGAGAATGTTGATGTAAAGGGATCAAGAAGCAACCGTTTTGGTTAAATATTCTTACAAGAATATGTGATCAAAGCAAATGATTTGTCAATTGTATGTCTCATTGAAGGGTACAACTAGAAAAGTAGAGAATCCCAACAGTTTCTTCTCTACATGTCTCTCAAATATTCTCAATAAATCTTTAAATACGTTATTGTGATACATCAAATTTGTAACCTTTGATGATGTTTAAAAAATCTACAATACCAATGTTGTCTCTTAACCTTATAATTCAC